ATCGCCAGGCGCGGCGGGTGCTGGCGAGACTGGGTTCAATGGGACCTGGTTAGTGATTTGTAGCGGGGGCCCCCCGCCCCCCGCCGCATTCCACGAATCGGAACTGCCGTCGCACGGAGAAAAAACAGCTGCGGCAGACCTGGTATAATAATTCCAATCCATTTTTGGGGCTTCGGGGCCCAATCACTAACCGGCTCCCCTTAACCGAGGTCCTGGCTATACCCGAACCAGGGGCGCCCACATCAGTGCAGGCGGCAGCGTAGGCGGCGGGGCAGCAGCCGCCAGCTGGCATCGGCCACACCCGGCATCCTGAAAGTTGCCTTCGAGAAGGCCAGCAATGCCAGAAAGCTGGTCCAGAGGAGCATAGACCTGGACGACTCGGACGACCTCGGAGACGATACTGGCGCCCTCATGGACTTGAACGCCAATCAGCAGGCGGCACCGTCAACACCAGCAGCTGGGTACGCAGAGATGCCAGTGAGTGGTCAACAGCGCGTTCAGCAGGAGCCAGGGGCAACGCCAGACCCAGTGGCTGAGAAGGATGACTCCGATGAGCTTTGACAAATAATTCGGCGTGGTCCCTGCGAAGATGAAGCAGCATCTTCGCACGCATTTTCACAGGACCGTTTTACTGCTCCGCCCTCCTCTCCGACTGAGGCTAACCACCCTGGTGTATGGATCAGTCCTCTCCCTCCTCTGGGTCCCACTGAGGACCTACTGCTTAGGCCCTGGACTAGACCCTTTCAGACTAGACTCAGTTTTGGCATTAATCTACGATCAAAGGGATTTGCACTGTGATACTGAATCCAGAGGAGGGGGTCACGCCTGACAGAATCGACATATACACAGATGGGAAGGCTGGGGGATTCAAGGATTGGTCGGATCAGACAAGTCCCCCAGCTTGGGCTCTCGTGACCATCACTGCACTTCAGGACAAGAGCTGGTGCCAAGGCTATTTTGCCCGTGGCATGCCAGACGCTGACATTTCATTATTTCCTTCGCCTGCGGAATCTGAAGTAGCCAATCTGAACAGCAGCTAGGTGCATGCAGTATCCCTGCATACGACATGTACATGCGACGATGCACACTGACAATATGGAAGAGGGTCCGAAGGGCCTTATCAAGAGCTCTCAAGGAGACACCTGCAGGACCTCAAAACTACCATGGACAGACTGGTTCAAATACTCTCATGTGTTGCACGCAAACTTTCGGGGATCTTCTGACCCGGGTCAATCCAGACCCGGGTCAGCAGAAAACAAAACAACTGCAATGCAGGACAACAAAACTGCAACACAGGTCTTCGCAAACCCGGGTCAGCCAAGATGCGCGGCCGCCTCGCGGCCACGAGCGGCTCGCTAACCCAGGTCAGCCAGAGGGGGTCTTCGCAGGATCCTGCAGAATCCGGTGCCCTGGCTGACCCCCGTTTGCATTGACCCCCGTCTCGAGGCTCCCGAAACTTGGTTGGGTACGCATGCCGGGACACCAGGACCAGTCCTGGATCGAGATGGCAGATTCGCTGGTCAGGCTTACGGCCATGCATATTTACCAAGACACTTCGAACGATTGATTACGACAGGAGCTCGGCCTGCCCTGGCACGTGCGCGCACTTCCCTGGCGGTGGCTTGACTCTGCCGAGGTGGAGGAACGAGCGAGATACCCTCCAACAGGAGGCGTCCCTCTGCAGCCAGTGATACCAGCAGGGGCCAGCATGCAGGACATCGTACCTACGCCTCTGCATTCTGCCTCCCCCGCCTCGTATCCAGGGCAAGCTCGATCCACCCCCAATGTTGGGTTGCGACGGCCGACGTGCTCACACTCCACCTGTGCATGTGGAACAACCTCCAGGACTGTTCGGGGCCCGGGCCTGGCAGGCTTATGAAGCTTGCGACGCAGTCCACGATTCAGTAATATCTCTTGTAGCCCAAGGGTCACCATAAAATTCGGATCTGGTGATTTCCAGGCGGGGTCCAGGACCTTGTCCGGGCGGGGCCTGGCAAGCCGGAAGCGGATCTGCCTGGGTCCTAGTGTTTCGTGCAGCGTCACCGCAGGGGAAGCGCATGGCTGTGGCCGAATTCCCTCGCAGTGCAGTGCAATCAAACTTGCGCCTGAAAGAATGAGGTCCACACACAGCTACAGGTGCACACATACTGTGGACTCGTCTGCTGATTCCTTGTGATCTGCGAGGGGACGGGTGACAGCCCCTTGCCATTGCGAGCGCCACCCCCGCTCCTCTGGCACAGGAGCTGCTCGGCACCCCCCTGAGAGAGATGCATTACAGTATAGCAGCTCGACCACGAGAGACCCTCCACAAGAAATCCATCCCTGAGACCCCAGGACCTCCATTGACTCCCTCCTCCTCCTCCCCCTCCTCCCCCTCCTCCCTCCGCCTCCTCCTCCTCCCCCTCCTCCTCCTCCTCCCTCCCCCTCCTCCTCCTCCTCCCTCCTCCTCCCTCCTCCTCCCCCTCCCCCTCCTCCTCCTCCTCCCCCTCCTCCTCCTCCTCCTCCTCCTCCGCCTCCTCCACTGATTCCTGGCGTGGGAACGCCACGCTTCCCGCAGGAACACCGTCGACACCCAAGAGATCGGGGCCGGCGTCCCAGAGGCTTCTTCCAGCAAGCCTGGGAGGAGGAGGAGGAGGAGGAGGAGGAGGAGGAGGAGGAGGAGGGGGAGGAGGGGGAGGAGGGGAAGGAGGAGGAGGAGGAGGAGGAGGAGGAGGCAGAGCCCGGACATCCGCGAGCTAACGTCTGAGGTCCCACAGTCGACGGTGGACGTGTCGATCCGACACGCCCAACGCGTGCCGCGGCGAGGTGTTTTTCGAAGCTGTCAGGCGGGCGTGGGCGAAATCTGAATGCAAGCAGGGTGCAATCTGAATCTGATGCAATGCTGGCATCGGCTTCCACTGTGCTCTGGAGCCCTGGCGGAGACGGGCTCGTCCTCGGCGCCCGCGGGGCCGCGGGCGAGCGACGAGGTGAGGCCGAGGCTGGCCGCGCGCCCCCGGGGCCAGCTGGCTTCGCGCCCCCGCGCCTTTGGACGCCCGAAATGGGTACGGAAAGAATGGGTACAATGCTCAACAGCAGTTCCCGCTCCTTCTGAACAGGACCCGCTGTCGGTGTCGCCGCGGCCTGTGCCCATTTGAGACAGAAGGCCGCCTGCCCCACAGCGGCCGCTGTTGGTTTGGGGCAAAATTTGCTGCCGGGCATTGTGCCCATTGTCTCCGTGCCCATTTCGGGCGTCCAGCCCCTCCTCCCGCAGAGGACGAGGGGGGCCCGGCTGCCTCGGCCCCGCGCCCGGGGCAGGCGTTCGGGCGACTCGGGCGGAGCCTCGTTCGACGTGCAGCCCAACCTCGCTCGCAGGGAGCTGGCCACGGGGGCCTCGCTGCAGGGCTGGCCGTGAGCCCTGCCTCGCCATCGCTCGGACGTCCATTCCCCGTGCATGTTTCGGAGTCGTGCGTGTTGTTTTTTTGCTCGATGGTCCAGGGTCGTCCTCAACGGTCCTCGCCGAAAAAATGCACACGTCCGAGCGATGCCAGGCTGCAGCGCACCCCCGGCGGGAGCCTCACGAGGCCCTGCTGGTCGCCCCCGCGCCGCCCCGCTGCAGAGGGACAGCCCTGCAGCTCGGGCCGCGGCGCGCGACGCGCGGCGCTTCCCATCGCTCGGGCGTCCACTCCCCGTGCGCGGTGAGCGGTTTTTCTGACTCGGCGTCTCGACGCTGGGCGGAAGGGGGGGGGAGGGGGGGAGGGGGAGGGGGGGAGGGTCTGGCTCTGGACCTCTGCTTGATGCGACCGCTTGCAGCAGTGCGTCCTTTGGCGGAGAGACCCCACCTGCTCAACACAGGCGGCAGGAACAGCCAAGATCTGCTCCAGAAAGGGGGGGGGAGGGGGGGGCGAGGGCCCGCGCTGATCGGCGAACAGATGAACTAAAAGACGATCGCATTTGTTTGACTTCGTGCGTGTTTGTTTCGCAAGCTGGTCCAGGAGGCTGCCTGTCCGCTCCCCCCGCCGCCTCCTGCTCCTCTCCTCTCCTCTCCTCCTCGCTGCCCGTCTCTGCTTCACGGTCGGGCGCTCCAGTTCTCTGCCTCACAGTCGTGATGCGCTCCGTTTTTTCTTGTCTCCTGTTTTACGAATGCTCCGAAGAGTCGCCGATCGCGCGCTCTTCTGCCCACGCGTCCTTACGGATGCTTGGCCTAGTGGCGGTGGTGGTCCGGGAGGCTCCGCGATGGCCCCCGCCGACAACACAAAAGGCACACGTCCGAGCGATGCCGAGGGTCGTCTTCGCGCCCCTGCGGGTGTCCCAGGCGCACGCGTGCGGCCGTAGCAGACGAGCGCGCTCCACGACTCGCACAGTAGCTGCTCGCAAATGGCCTCGATCCGCCGCGGGGGATCTGCGATGAATCACATGGATGCAGACATGTGTTTTTTTCGGACGTTTGCGAGTGGGCACGTTGCGAGTAGTGGAACGCGCTCGGCGATGTAGGGCACGCACAGGCCAAACGGGCCCCGAATGAGCCAGACAAGGATGAGCCGAGCGGCATCCGACACACCGACCGCCAGACATCCCTCTTCATTGCACGCGAGATGGCAAAGCCGAGCAACGTCCGATGCACGCATGAGCACCCCCAACGATTGCCAGACCCTGGCGTCACAATGTTCCAAGAACCCGCCCTGACATCATCGCTACTGGTCCATGCAGCTCCCAACACTGATGATTCCCAAGATCCCATGAAGAGGGAGAGAAGCCCATGACTGCAAACCTGCGACCTGACGGATATCTCGCCTTCAATAGTCTACACAGCATGGTGTCACAACGTGTGACCAGGAAAGCGTGCTTGTCATGCATCGGGGAGCGGACCCTTTCTTGTCGGACTCGCTCATGTTGATCCACTTCTCGATCGCATCCTTCTGCTCTGGAGTCAACCTCCAGGCGCGCCCCGAGCCGGAGTGGGGTGGCAGGGAGCGCGGAAATGGAATGGGTATGGCGGGGCGGGAGCGGCTGAGCAAGATCATGGCGAATCGGAAGGAAGGCGGATGAGGAGCATGAGACGGATGGGATGGGAATGAGCACGACGACGAAGGAGGAGGGACTGGTCTCAGAGGCACTGGCAGTTAGCCCACCGCGGGACGGGAGAAATCCGCACGAACCCCCGAACATCTATGTATTGCATTGCCTGTTCTCCGAGGATCTCCTGTTTACCGTCTCTGACGAACTGGGATCTGCGAGTTGACACGGACTGCGGCACGGAGGATGCGCAGTCCACATTCGGGCGTTGGTAGACATGGGGACCGCCCCCCCGCCCCCCTTCCACTGATCGGAACGGCCGTCACCCGAAAAACACCGCCTACTGCAGAGCTGGTTTAGTGATTCCCGTCTATGTTTTGGGTTCTCGGGGATCTTCTGACCCGGGTCTATCCAAACCCAGGTCCGCCAGGCCTTGCAAAATCCTGCAGGATCCTGCGCCCAAACCCGGGTCAACGCGAAAGATCCTTCGAGATCCGGCAGGATCCTGCAAACAAGCCCAGGTCAATGCGACCCTGGCCCTGCAGGATCCTGCGAGATCCGGCGCTCTGGCTGACCCCCGTTTGCATTGACCCCCGTCTCTTGAGCCCCGAAGTTCGGGGCACTATCACTAACCGGCTCCCCTTAAACGGGGTCCTGGCTATACCCAGCACGTGGTGGGGCAAAAACTGCTGCTGGCTCTGGCGGTGCTGCTGCTGCTCTTCGTGCTGCTGCTGCTGCTCCTGCCCCTCTTGCGCCTGCTCCCGCTGCAGCTGCCCTCTAGTTAGCCTTATCCTAAGTGTTGAACGTGCATAAGATATAAGCATACGATGATAATATCAATGCTGGTCATATAGATATGGTAATCATAAACATGATGCGAATAATAACAAGTATGATGATAATACGAATGACGTGCTCATACGAATGCTATGCATAAGACTAATAATGCAACTGATGAAATACAGAGAACGTTTCCAATACCCATATAAAGGCTAGATATACATATATACATACTAGAATCATCGCGCGCGCTACGCTCGCGCTCAGGTTCTAGCCCAGGCCAGGGGGGGCGCTGGAAGATCTCGGACAGCGCTATCAAGCACAGGCGCGTGACATAGCCGTGCCTCCTGAGGGTCTCTGGGGAACCTCTTGGGTCTTCGTGGGGGCATCTGAAGGGCTTCTGGGGGGGTCTCCGTGCTTCCTCAATTGGCTGTTGGCTGCTCCTCTTGGGTGCTTCTCAGCGGGGTGTCTTGGGGCTTCTCAGGGCCCCCTGGGGGCACCGTCGGCGTTCTCTGGGCAGTCGGAAAGTGATGCTCCGCAATCTGAAGCCGTCATTGGCCGTCGTGGCTGCGTGGAGGCCCGACTTGAGGCCACCTGGGGCCACCATTAGGCAATCCGGAAGCCTCCCGGGTGCCTCCTGGAGGCAGTTTGGATGCATCGAGGGCACTGCGCGGCCATCTCGGGGCCCCTTCCATGTCTCCTGGGGGCCTTTTGGGGGGCTCTTGGGAAGCTTTCGGGGGCCTCGTCGGACCACTCGGGGACTCTTAGGGCCTCCTGTGGGCCTCATGGCAAAAAGCTCTGCTGCTGGGTTCGCGTTCCCCTTCTTGGGCCTCTCGTGGGGCCGTGTTGGTACCCTCTCGGGCCGTCTTGGGCGCCTCAGGCACCGTCTTGGGGCCCTCGTAGGCCGTCTTGGAGCCCTCTTGGAGGCTTCTTCGGCTATCTTGGAGCGGTCTTGGTGGCCAATCGAAAACATATGGGAATACAGCGAGGGCCTTCTTGGGAGACCTCTTCGGCCCTCTGGGGAGCTTCTTGAGCGCCTCTTGGATCCTATTGGGGGCCTCATAAGGGTTTCCTGAGAGCCTCACGGGGTGGAAGGCTCGGATGTTCGGTTCGTATTACCCCTCTTGGGTCCCTCTTGGGGCCGTATTGGGGCTCTCTCGGGCCGTATTGGGGCCCTGTTGGAGGCCTCTTGGGCATCTTGGAACGGTTTCGGACGCCTGTTGGGCCGTCTTGGAGCGTCGGGACGCCATAAGACTGAAATCAACATGAACCAAAAACCTACGGCAAGACAATGATGTTTGTCTCTCGGGGCCTTCGTGGGGAGGCCTCTTGGAACCTCTTCGGCCCCCTGATACGCTTCTTGGGACCTCTTGGGGCCTGTTGAGGGCTTCTCGGGGCCTCCTGAGAGCCTCTCGGGGTGGAAGGCTCGGATTTTCGGTTCGCGTTGCCCCTCTTGGCTCCCTCGTTGAGCCGTCTTGGGGCTCTTTCGGGCCGTCTTGGGCGCTCTGCCGCCGTCTTGGGGCCCTCTTGAGCTGTCTTGTGGCCGTCTTCGAGGCCTCAGTGGCTGTCTTGGAGCGGACATTGGGACCTCTTGGGCTAACGTGGAGCGTCGGGAAACTGAAAAACCGAAAACTCGAAAATTCCCTGAAAACCTAAGACAACTAAGTTATTTGTGCCTCCTGGGGCTCCTTGGGGGGCATCATGGACGCCTCTTGGGGCGTCTCGAAGGCCTCTTGGACAGTCAAGGGCTAATTCTGGGGTGATCTCGGGCCGTTATTTGTCGTTTTTGCAGTCTGGAAGCTTCGTTTCTGGCGATCTGGGGCCGTCTTCGGGCGAATTAAAAAACCCTCGGCTCCGGGGCCCCTGGTTCGAAGCGTCCCGGGCCCCGCGTAGTGCCCGCGGCAGGGCGTCCCTGGGCCGTCTCGGCACCCTCGTGGGGGCCTGATGGGGCGATATGTGGGTGTCCAGGACCGTCTTGGAGCGTCAAGAAGCTGAACAAGTAGAAACGCTGAAATGCACCAAAAACCAAACTCAATGATGTTGGCTTCTTGGGGCCATTGGAAGAGTGTTCTTGAAGACCCCTTGGGCCGTGTGTTGGAAGCCTTTTGGGCCATCTGGAGGCCATCTTGGGCGTGTTGGAGCGTTATGTTCGCGTTTCGGGGCCTCTTGGAGGCCTCTTCTGGCCCTTTTCAGCAGTGTTGGGGCTGTCTTGGGCCGTCTGGGGGCAGCCCTGGGCCGACTCGGCGTCTTCGTGGGGGCCTGTTGGGGCGATATGTGGGTGTCCGGGACCGCCTTGGACCGTCGGGAAGCGGAACAAGCAGAATCGCTAACATTTACTTAAAGCCAACATGGACAATCTACAGGGAGGTTGAAAAAACGAGGAATTCGAACAACAAAGAAGTTGTAAGTCTAGGTTGTCGCGCAGAGATCGCGGCCCCGAAGCGAGGCAGAGCACAAAACCAGGAATTGTAAAAACAGGAACCGGACCCGCGGCGCGGCATGAAACAAGACAAGGGACGCCCTCGAACAGCAGGGGGAAGATCTGGGGGAAGATGTGTCGGGAGATCTGAGGAGTGTCCACTGGAAGATTGGGTGCGGTTGCAAAGCGATAGATCTGGAGGAGTATTTGGCGGAAGATCTGGGGGAGACCTGAGGGAACATCTCGGATGTCATATTTGGCGGGAAGTCTGGAGGAAGATCTGGAGGGACATCTGGGGGAAGATCTGGTGGAAGATCTGGGCGAACATCTGGGGAACGTGCTGAGGGAAATTTGGCGGTGTAGTGCGTCGCAAATCTGCAGCAAGATTTGCGGGAAGATCTCGGGAAGATCTGGAGAAAGGTCTGAGGGAGAAGATATGGGGAAACATCTGGGGGAAAACCTGGGTGAAGATCTGGAGGACGATCTGGAGGAAGATTTGGGGGAAGATCTAAATCAATATCTGGGTGAGTGAATATATTGGGAAACATGGAAAAAAGCCCTGCGGGACAACATCGGGAAAGATCAGAGGAAAAATCTGGGTGACGATTTGGAGAAAGATCTGGCTTCTTGTGGTCCTGTGTGGGGGTGCTCTTGGGAACCCCTTGTGCCGTGTTGGAGGCCTTGTGGGCCATCTGGAGGCCATCTTGGGTGCGTTAGAATGATATTTCGGTGGCTGCAGCCCATCCCTCTTAGAGGCCTCTCGTGGCCCTTTTCAGCTGTGTTGGGGCTGTCTTGGGCAGTCTGGGGCGTCCCTGGCCCGACTTGGCTCCCTCGTGGGGGCCTGTTGGGGCGATATGTGGGTGTCCGGGACCGTCTTGGACCGTCGGGAAGCTGAACAGGCAGAAACGCTGAGATGTACGAAAAACCTGAAGAAACTAAATGATGTTGGCTTCTTGCCCTTTTGGGCGTGCTCTTGGGGACCCCATGGGCAGTGTTGGAAGCCCTGCGCGGCATCTGGAAGACATCTTGGGCGTGTTCGAGCGTTCTGTCCAAAGGGCCCGGACCCCAAATTCTCAAATCTCCTGGGGCTCCAGGCGCGCCCAGAGCGTTTTCCCGCACGACTCGTTCTCTGGCCTGGAGGGCCTCAAGGACGGGCCAAGAGGGCCCCAGGAGGCCTCTCAGGTGGTCTAAGATGGCCTCGAGTCGCCGAACGATCGGTCTAAGGTGGGCCAAAAGCCACTAGATAGTCGCTGAGGAGCAGGGATGATGGATGATATAAGATGCGGCACCTGCCTGCCTTCACGCCCCAGCTCGGCGGCGCTGCGAGTCGCCTCGCGAGCTTGCACGCGGGTCGGCAGCTCAGAGTGAGGCTGACCAGGGAACCGGGACTTGTGACCTAGGAGCGTACGCCACGCAGACTATCGAATACGTAGGACCCCGCAATGTCGGACGGGGTGGGTCGCGGGCAGGTCGCGGGTGTCTCGGAAGAGTCGCGGAGCGAGTCGCAGGGTTGGTCGCGGGGTGGGCCACGGGGAGGATGACGACAACAACAACCTCAAGAACAAACAAGCAGAATCCAGGCAACGGTATCCCACTTCACCCACGCGCCCGTGGATGGTGTAAGACCGTTCGCCCCTCTCACTCTGAGGTCTCGGCTGCGGCTGGTCACGGCGGGGGCGTCCTCTGCACATCGTGCCGCACGCACTGTGTGGAGTGGAGATGCCTCCAAGAGCCCCCTAAGAGCCCTCCAAAGAGATCCCAAGAGGCATCTAGTCCACGACCCAGGGACAGTTGGGGATCAGGCCACGG